GCAACCACCTTTGTTGTCCACACATCGGGCATCCCGCACGCAACATCGTAACTCCGCTAAGCCACCCGCTCTGCCCAAACGTCGCCGCGTCGCAGGCGCACATGAACCGAGACACGTGGCTGACGCCAGGCTGCAGTATAATTTGATCAATTAACGGGGGCGCGCGGTGTGACATTGGTTGACAAATTGCCCGTCGGAAACAGCTGGTTTGCCGCGCAGAGCAAGACGGCATCTGGTTAATGGGAATATCTGTTTTTACCTGTTAGCATTCATTGTATTTCAACAATGCTCTATCCCACCCTAGCCATACTTGTATTACTAATACTACTACTACTACGATAATCATCACCAAAGTGGCAACAGTCTAAGGCACTCCAGCTGAGTCGGCTGGGTTAATGTTATGATGCAGCATTGTCTCAGCCACTCTTGCTCACTGCTGCGATCCCGATCAGACTCGAGGATATTCAGTTGGCTGGCAATGTCGCCAACATCATCTCTCCTCGACGAATCTCAACATTCCAAGCCGCATTAAAGTTGATTCGTTCAATCAAAAATTCTGCGCGCGAAATTGAAACGTGAAATCAAAACTGAGCCTCGGATTCATATTCATTCAAAAGCACATTGGCTGTTGGAATCATATTGTTCTCAAACAAAGTGTTGATACTTTCTTCTAAATTAAATCCCAGTTAAGCTGCGGCTTGCTTCAATGCACAGTGAAGACATCGACCATGATGACAACTCTAGAGATGGCTGAGATTCTGATCGTTTCAGTCAGGAACTGTCCCGGAAAAGAGACGACACATACATTCTTCTGGAGCCTCTCAGTGCTACAGGCCCCATGCACGAGCTCCACTCATTGATTCCTCCACTCATGTTGAGTATTTACTCTACCAGACTGATAACACTTTTAGATGTCGAGATCAATAGGGGAGTGCCACGGAGGCGAGATGTTAACTACCTCGCCGGGTACACTAGAGTTCGTGGGTTCGATCCCGACTCTGACGCCTGTATATGTAAAGTTTGCATGTTCTCCCAGTGGTCGCGTGGAATTTTCTCCGTGTCCTCCTGGTTATCCCATCCACAGTTAGAAATATGCGTATAAGAGTATTTTGCCGCTATAAAATAACCACTTGATACGCCCCTTGGTCGTGCTATAATTTGTGGCCAGGTCAATTCTAAAAAAATAGCTATATAGCTCAGTGGGCATTACCTGGTAAAATAAAAATAGTTTACAGTTTTGTATCTGTCCATTGCTCAGTGTAGTTAGGACTGCAAGCCTTCGAGCTTGGATGATCGTGGTGGCGCAGCGGTTTCCGCACTGACTTGGGAACCCGGCGAGCCGAGTTTCACCCCCGGCCACAGCCAACATCGCCGGCGCGTGACAGCTGAAGGAGGGTGATGGAGGCCCCTTTCATCGACATGCACCAAGTTCATGTGGCACAGTGTTGTCAAGCAACCTCCATAACCATCATCCAGCGGTGGATTGGCAATGGGCTGTACATGATTGACTATTATCATTAATTACGCACTTCACTGAACTGTAAAAGTAATGTCGACGATCAACCAAGCCAATCTCTATTTGTGTAGTCAATGGTAACCGGCCTGAGACCATGAATCCTGCTTCACCCGAGAACTGACCGCACTTCGGGTAGATGTCTCATTTTTGGGAGCTAAACGTTCTGGGACAGTCGCCGATCACATGGACACTAGCATACATTATTACCACAAATGTAAGTAATAAAGTCATGCTATGTTTTGTGTAATACGAACTAGTTAAGACATTCGCCTGTCAACTATAAGGACATCTAAATGGTTAGCTCTGTAGCAGAGCTCAACTCACAACTGGAAAGTTGTGAGCCCAAATTTCGTTTTGGGGGTCGCCTCAGGTCAGTATCTCTCTTGGACTGAAAAATTGAGTAGCACTTCTTAGGAAATCTGCAGTGGATGTGCTGTGCAGACTGGGCCCTGTCATAAGGATGTTGAATTTCCACCATCGACTCATGGCCTCCAAGGGAGATGAACACTGGTAGCACATTGCTCATGCTCTTATAAAATCAGCGCCTTTTGAAGTAAACTAAGTGGCGTATCGCATAAGACATTGGAATAAAGATGGGCCTGAACAGGGATCAAACCTAACAACGTGTGCACACAAGAGCTGAGTTGTAGTTAACGCCTGATGATGCTTGTTGTACTCCCAGTGAAACGTCGGATGTAAAATTGTAAACATTTTGCTCGGGATTTTCAACATTCATCCGGTTTGCTGATTAACAAAATCAATTGCCATTTGCCCAAGACGTGACAACCTCATTTGGTTGGCTCTGATGGGTGGTGGAGGGGTATCGTAAAAACAAAATTACGTTAACCCTACACTGCCTATGTATAAAGTTAACCACCTTTGTATGCGAGCAAATCATGGCACGTCCAATCACATGGCATGTCTTGTTCGCATGTTCTTTCGGGTGTGCTTTGTTCTGCACTGTTATTTTTTATCGCATCGAGGGTGAAAATAACCCTCACAGGTGATAGCCCATTGCATCTATTAAGACCCGTTGGTAACCAAAGTTACGAATCAACAATCTGGATTTGATTTATAGACCCCACAAATTTAGTTGCAGATACATTTATTTGAATCTGGAACTTTTGTTTTGAGTTGTGAATCTTACGACACCAGAGCACAAAGGGCTTCTCGTGTGAATTTATTTTGGTTCGGAGAATTGGGCCGCTCTCAATTTCAACACGAGATGCCACTTCATTGAGCTATCATGTGTGACCGGGTCACTTCTGAAAAATAACTATATGGATAGCTCAGTGGGCCTTACCTGGTTAATAAAAATAGAACGTCCGAGCATTTGTAATGCCCACCATGCCATTCTTGCAAATGCGTTCAGGAGCGAGATACCAATGTCGACGTCAGCTGGTGACGACGCGAGAGCTTCAGGAGAGTTTGTGGGTTTGTGATGGTAAATCTCACGGTGGCCCATCTGCTACAATGTTCTCATGTTACCTTTACCACAACTAATATCATTATCTCGGCGAAACGGAGATCCTTAACGTCCACCTATAGGAGTTGGCATGAATATCGTGCTTCCACACAAAACTATGAATGTGATTATCATCACTGCCTATGCTCGACTCTTTCTCTATGTACGGAAGCCCCACTGTTTTATACGTCTTGACATGCAGTCGCATTTAAACGCCATATGCAGCCAAATTGTACTGCATTGTGTGATTGCAGTGGGTCTGACCTGGCAGCACTGTGGTGAGAGGCATGCGGCATTTCAACCGGGGACCTAAAATGAGATTAACTTTGCGTGAAGGCAACGGCGGTATTCCGACAGAGTAAAACAAGACCCCACGGTAACAACGTAGAATGTCCTACAATGGCTCTGGGCGATGCATGGAGGCGAGTACTTCTCAGATCGCTAATTTGAGCATTGAGACTCTCGCAGTTCAAGTTTGACGACTATTTTGTAATAGTTATATATATATAAAATCAATACTTTGTGGTTGCTATACATATTAAGGTGGAGTGAGACTGGATGGCTCAGTGGGCTCATGAATGTATGGGTGCGCATGTATATTGAACTTCTTTCGCACCGTACGTAGCCCACCGTGCTAAATCGGATATTCGGGGGAAGTACAACAAACCAAACATGAAAAATCAGTTCTAAAGAAATTAGTTTTCAGTTCAGAAATGTGGGCATCGAGCCGGGAACAGAGAACCTCTGTTCAAATAATTAGATTTTAGTTTGGGGATGCCGTTTTTAATCCCCACTTGTGATGATATAATCCCCTTCGATGGAGCTATCATCGTGTGTGGCGGGGTCGCCTCTGACAAAGAGCGAAAAGCTCAGTGGTCTTTACCTGGTAGACCACAAAAAAGCCAGTCCTGCATGTGCACAAGGTGCAAAACTCTGCTACAAAACGCTGCAGCAAGTGCTATGTCAAGCCACCTAGCTACCAATGACTACACAAACATGAATTCCATGCTGATATTGAACATTTCACTTTGTTATCGTTGGAGTGTCGGCAGTTCTCTGCATAGCTGCAAAGGGCCTTCAATGGGTTAGCGATCCGGCTAGGTGGCATTGTGGTTAGGGTGGTCTCTACTCACAATCCGGCTGGGTGGCACCGTGGTTAGGGTGGTCTCTACTCACAATCCGTCTGGGTCGCACCATGATTAGGGTGCCTTGATCCACAATCGGAGGGGTTGCCGAACGCAACTGCTGATTTGGAAGTAAGTTCAGGCTATCATCTCTATGGGGGCCGATAAACGATAACAATTATTCTGTGGGTGGACTGGACCCGATCCCGGTAATATAGAAATGTCGCCATTGGCCCCACGGCAACCGAGGCAGATGAGCACCACTCATTTGCTCACGCGAGCAGGGAAACACTGACAAAGCAAAAAAGCCAATTGAACATGGCCTCAGGTCGATATTAGGCTGAGGCCCTGTGGTGTGCGAGTCTTGGGTGAACACCAGCCAGGTCACATGATGTCTGCTGTCAGCAGCGATCTTCATGAAATCACGCTTCACTCTGCAGTTGACGCCAGGAGCTGGGCTTTATAAGAACGTTAAATTAAATGTATAATCGTGGTCATTCTGTGATGAGACTGGCTCACTCCACAGGGACGTGGAATGTTCATGACCGGCTCAGGGCCATCGGTGGGAGGCGAGCACCACTCTCGATGCTTGTTTGCTCGAGCGCGGGAGAAACTTTGAACGGAGAATGCTAATGCTGTACAAGTGTTTACTTACACACTTGACGAATCCAGCTGTCGAATGCAAGTTGCCCCTTGGCAGAGAAAGCAAACGAGGTGACGAATGGAAGGCAAAGTAATATCCGCAACACAAACATTGCTACGCGTCAAGCAGGAAGACCAAAACACACGTGACATTGCTTGCGCGTCGTGAAACATAAAGACAAAGAAATCTAAAATGAGTCTCAAAATACACCCTCGCTTTCTTTAAACACCGAAAAGTAGTTTCAATATAAACTATGTTTAAACGATATATTTATTTATATATGTCATGTCGTCACTTGGACGCAATTATATTTCGCGCCCAAGAAACAAAAGCGACGGGATTTCCAGAGCGCGCAAAGGAACGCAAAAACCTCTTCCGTGTGACAGCAAGTCGTGAGGGCCCCACGCGACTCTGTTAATGTTCGTGACCGAGCGGGCGAAGAGGATTATACGTGCAGCGGGCCGAGAGATTCGACCGTCCGTTAAAACGTCGCGTTTAACAATGGCAAAGCATTTTGCAAATCGTGCTCTCGTTAAGATTTCAAGAAGCGCTAAAATTTATTTTGGTTATGATGGCAAAAACGTCCCCCCCCCCCACAAAAAACTCGGTTTTTATCAAGGGTAAGGTTTTTTTGTTATTTTGTTATTTTGTTTTAAAAGTTTGATTATCATGAATGTATTTGCTGTTGAATAAGATGTAGCAAGCTTCACTCCACTAATGTTCACGCTCATGGTGTTGGGCTAATCAATACACTTATGATGTTGAGATTATTAACTCTATGCGGAATAATATATGATCTCGGTACATTCTTCACCTTTCTAAATGTACTTTTATTTGTTTTAAGATATAGACTACCCAAGTATAATAACCCTGTAAATATACAAAGTTCATATGAAAAACAACACTGTCACGTGTCGTAGTGTATTTGCAAACTGTACAATATTTGGCAACTTTATATGCATCAGAAACCCTAATGACACCCCTGGGTTATGGTTTTAAAAGTCCGGGAACTCATAACCCCTTTACTCCTCCTAAGCGATCCCACATTCAAGAGAACAGCTCAATATACCTCGATCATTCCACAAAACCATAAAAAAACCACCCACTTAATTTATACTTTGCAGTGCCATCACGCAAATTACATAAACTAGTTCTTTCTTTCATAGAATATTTTAATTCTTCTCAGCAAGCAAAAAAAAAGTACGAATATTTGTTTTATTTAAATATATATTTGCTAAACAAAAAGGGGGATAATAGGAGACCCCCATCGGATTATGAAACAGTGCGTTTACACCATTTACAAATTGACATCTGTAAATTAATACAGAACAAAAACTGAATCGATCAACTCAGTTGAGATTTATACCGATTCACCAAAAATTTAAGAGATACACTGACTCATTACAATGTGGATCACTCCAAAAAAACCTATTACGCCTTAACTTGGGGTAGTAGTTGTTACTTAAACTCTTTATATTTAAGGAGCAAACACATGCGCAAGCATGGAAATGTGGGACGTTCCATTATTTCCTAAGGGGGTCCCGTCTTACCACTGGCTAAATAATCCCCCCTCCCCCCCCAAATCCACTGCCAAAACGAACAAAAGAAACATTGCAGCTGTCAATCATGAAGCAAAGATCCAGTGATTAAAAGGAAACTACCATATTATTTTCAAAAACATTTACACATTACGATCTTTACATTGCTTTGTCCAGTGTAAGCATCAACACTTTCATTTTAATGGTCAAAAAAGAATATCCAAAGGGGCGCTTCGACGAACCTCCAACCGTGTATTGCATTTTGTGCCCATGCGTTGACCTTTCCAGAATTTAGATCGAAGAGGAAAGCACGGTAAAGTGAACTCGTGGAGTAGTCTTTCTCATCGGGAGTGGGGGGGGGGCAAGGGGCTGTGTGACGTGTCGCGCAGTGGATACCATGAACCTTTTCACATCGACGCTCGACGACCTCTGCGAACAAACCGATAAAACTTCCCCCCCCACACGGTCATTTCTTCTGATGCAATACAAAGTAGTGCTAAAAAGGTCCATTTGAACGAGACCCCCCCAGGGGGAGGGGGGGGGTTCCGTTACTCGGTACGCGACGAGGGCCGAATACGGGATGTTAAAAAATAACCTGGCATCCTCGCTAAGGCCTTTCATTCCATTCCCTCCAAAATTTCTATACGCAGAAAAGTAGGTCTTGTTCGTAACGTGTAACCGAGTACCGTTTTTTTTATAAACAAATTCAAATAAAAAGCAAGAGAAACACTTTTTTTTGCATTGCCGTTGCTGCAGCTGTAAATATATATATATTTTGCGTCCTGGTATTGTATTTTTTTTCCGACACATTTTTCTTGTATTTCTGTATGCGGTGATATTGGTAGTGCCCACATTTTCTGTGCGAGTGGGAGACAAGAGAGAGAGAGAGGAGGAGAGAGAGAGAAAGTGAGCGAGAAAAACACGGAAAAAAATGTGACGTCTGGAAGTCATTATCTGCTCAGCAGCTGCCTCAGGGCTCGCTCGATGTTCATGCGGTGGCCGACGCGCGTCACGCCCAGCTCCACAAAGTCCTCCTTCTCCAGGTTGGGGAGGTGCGTGCCCTCGATCTCGTTGTCCAGAAAGCGCTCCTTGTGCTCGCTGAGGTTCAGGCTGTCGAGCCAGTCCGCCACGTCGTATTTGCTCCACAGGCCGATCGGCTTCTGTGAAAATGGCTTGCCGCCGTCGGCGGCGCCCGCGCCCTGGGCCTTGCTCGCCACTGGATTCGAGTTGAGGCTCGAATTCGCCGCCGCCACCGCCGCCGGGACCTCGTTGGAGCTGACCACGTGGCCGCCGTGGTTCGGGTTAGGGTGTGGCGCAGCCTTTGCGTTCAGGGCCAGCGTTTGCGGGGGGCTGGGTCCCGGTTTTTGGCTGGGAGCCAGACTGAGGTTCGAGTTGGCGACAGCACCCGGCGGCGTTGTTGGAGTGGCGACGTCCGGCCGTGACGGGGGGTTTGGCGACGGCGAATTCGGGGTCCTCGCGACGGTGGACGAGGCCTCGGGGTCGTCTGCTGTCGGTGTTGTCGTGCCCGCGGCGCCCGGCAGCTTCATGATGGGCTGGCTCGTTTTCGGGCGCACGGTGAACGTCGCTCCGAAGGGACCAGCCGGCCTTTGGAGACAAAGCGAAAAAAGCGATTGCTTGTATTAATAATCACATTCTAGAGCGTGCGACGCTGCCTCCCAATAGCGACGATGAAGATAAGTGCAGTAGAGTTTATATGGCGGCAGAAATTCACTTTTTACATTGTCCTGTGGTGGAATTGCCCTCAGCATCGGCCTATGAAATCTTCAACAGGGACTCTAGGCCAACTGAACTAAGCACCACCCTGTAAAGGTTCTAGTATTGAACGACTTTACTTGTATGGGTAAAGGTGCAGCCCTGCAAATACTCGCACATGCCACTGCTGACGGAAAAAAAAGTTTCCACGAGAGGGAGTGCAGGAGAACCACACTGGAGGGTATTTGGGTTGCTCTTCCATGCATAGCCCTGCGTCTGGGAAAATGTGCGCTGTACCCCACACTTTATCCCACTGCAACACAACCTGCCAGTCAACTAAACGTGGTGTACCCATTCCTACTGCTTGGGTGGACGGAGGAGTGGGGGCAAGGGGGAGGGGTAGTGAGGGATATCATAAACTTGCACCATTGCTTCAACTGCCACGCCGGGAGACACCAACCGGATGCCTCTGGATTGTGGGTCCAGTATGGTAGCCATTACCCCACGACAGCAATTTACTTTTATGTTAAAATGTTAATGTTGGGAATAGGTTTTTCCCCTTTTGTCTGGCAACAAAACAGGTGTTAAGTTGTTAAAACACCAAACTGAAACCTTTTACAAGGAATCATGTATGCATTAACCACAATACTTGTGGTCAAAATGCAAACAAAAAACACTCTGATAATATATGCATTGTCTTTGAAACTGATTGGTCCATACCAGTAGGTCAAACACCATCTACAAGAGTAGGTCAAACACCATCTACAGGAGTAGGTCAAACACCATCTACAGGAGTAGGTCAAACACCATCTACAGGAGGAGGTCACACACCATCTACAGGAGTAAGTCACTCACCATCTACAGGAGTAGGTCAAACACCATCTACAGGAGTAGGTCAAACACCATCTACAGGAGTATGTCACTCACCATCTACAGGAGTAGGTCAAACACCATCTACAGGAGGAGGTCACACACCATCTACAGGAGTAGGTCACTCACCATCTACAGGAGTAGGTCAAACACCATCTACAGGAGTATGTCACTCACCATCTACAGGAGTAGGTCAAACTCCATCTACAGGAGTAGGTCACACACCATCTACAGGAGTAGGTCACTCACCATCTACAGGAGTAGGTCACTCACCATCTACAAGAGTAGGTCACACACCATCTACAGGAGTAGGTCACACACCATCTACAGGAGTAGGTCACACACCATCTACAGGAGTAGGTCACACACCATCTACAGGAGTAGGTCACTCACCATCTACAGGAGTAGGTCAAACACCATCTACAGGAATAGGTCACTCACCATCTACAGGAGTAAGTCAAACACCATCTACAGGAGTAGGTCACACACCATCTACAGGAGTAGGTCACCCACCATCTACAGGAGTAGGTCACTCACCATCTACAGGAGTAGGTCAAGCACCATCTACAGGAGTAGGTCACACACCATCTACAGGAGTAGGTCACTCACCATCTACAGGAGTAGGTCAAACACCATCTACAGGAGAAGGTCAAACACCATCTACAGGAGTATGTCACTCACCATCTACAGGAGTAGGTCAAACACCATCTACAGGAGGAGGTCACACACCATCTACAGGAGTAGGTCACTCACCATCTACAGGAGTAGGTCAAACACCATCTACAGGAGTATGTCACTCACCATCTACAGGAGTAGGTCAAACTCCATCTACAGGAGTAGGTCACACACCATCTACAGGAGTAGGTCACTCACCATCTACAGGAGTAGGTCACTCACCATCTACAAGAGTAGGTCACACACCATCTACAGGAGTAGGTCACACACCATCTACAGGAGTAGGTCACACACCATCTACAGGAGTAGGTCACACACCATCTACAGGAGTAGGTCACTCACCATCTACAGGAGTAGGTCAAACACCATCTACAGGAATAGGTCACTCACCATCTACAGGAGTAAGTCAAACACCATCTACAGGAGTAGGTCACACACCATCTACAGGAGTAGGTCACCCACCATCTACAGGAGTAGGTCACTCACCATCTACAGGAGTAGGTCAAGCACCATCTACAGGAGTAGGTCACACACCATCTACAGGAGTAGGTCACTCACCATCTACAGGAGTAGGTCAAACACCATCTAAAGGAGTAGGTCACTCACCATCTACAGGAGTAGGTCACTCACCATCTACAGGAGTAGGTCAAACACCATCTACAGGAGTAGGTCACTCACCATCTACAGGAGTAGGTCAAACACCATCTACAGGAGTAGGTCAAACACCATCTACAGGAGTAGGTCACACACCATCTACAGGAGTAGGTCACACACCATCTACAGGAGTAGGTCACACACCATCTACAGGAGTAGGTCACTCACCATCTACAGGAGTAGGTCAAACACCATCTACAGGAGTAGGTCAAACACCATCTACAGGAGTAGGTCAAACACCATCTACAGGAGTAGGTCACTCACCATCTACAGGAGTAGGTCAAACACAATCTACAGGAGTAGGTCACTCACCATCTACAGGAGTAGGTCACTCACCATCTACAGAGTAGGTCAAACACCATCTACAGGAGTAGGTCACTCACCATCTACAGGAGTAGGTCACTCACCATCTACAGAGTAGGTCAAACACCATCTACAGGAGTAGGTCAAACACCATCTACAGGAGTAGGTCACACACCATCTACAGGAGTAGGTAAAACACCATCTACAGGAGTAGGTCACTCACCATCTACAGGAGTAGGTCAAACACCATCTACAGGAGGAGGTCAAACACCATCTACAGGAGTAGGTCAAACACCATCTACAGGAGTAGGTCAAACAACATTTACAGGAGTAGGTCACTCACCATCTACAGGAGTAGGTCACTCACCATCTACAGGAGTAGGTCAAACACCATCTACAGGAGTAGGTCACACACCATCTACAGGAGTAGGTCACTCACCATCTACAGGAGTAGGTCACTCACCATCTACAGGAGTAGGTCACTCACCATCTACAGGAGTAGGTCACACACCATCTACAGGAGTAGGTCAAACACCATCTACAGGAGTAGGTCACACACCATCTACAGGAGTAGGTCAAACACCATCTACAGGAGTAGGTCACTCACCATCTACAGGAGTAGGTCAAACACCATCTACAGGAGGAGGTCAAACACCATCTACAGTAGTAGGTCAAACACCATCTACAGGAGTAGGTCAAACAACATTTACAGGAGTAGGTCACTCACCATCTACATGAGTAGGTCAAACACCATCTACAGGAGTAGGTCAAACATAATCTACAGAAGTAGGTCAAACACCATCTACAGGAGTAGGTCAAACACCATCTACAGGAGTAGGTCACACACCATCTACAGGAGTAGGTCACTCACCATCTACAGGAGTAGGTCACTCACCATCTACAGGAGTAGGTCAAACACCATCTACAGGAGTAGGTCAAACACCATCTACAGGAGTAGGTCACTCACCATCTACAGGAGTAGGTCAAACACCATCTACAGGAGTAGGTCACTCACCATCTACAGGAGTAGGTCACACACCATCTACAGGAGTAGGTCAAACACCATCTACAGGAGTAGGTCAAACACCATCTACAGGAGTAGGTCACTCACCATCTACAGGAGTAGGTCACTCACCATCTACAGGAGTAGGTCACACACCATCTACAGGAGTAGTTCACTCACCATCTACAGGAGTAGTTCACTCACCATCTACAGGAGTAGGTCAAACACCATCTACAGGAGTAGGTCAAACACCATCTACAGAAGTAGGTCAAACACCATCTACAGGAGGAGGTCACACACCATCTACAGGAGTAGGTCAAACACAATCTACAGGAGTAGGTCACTCACCATCTACAGGAGTAGGTCACTCACCATCTACAGAGTAGGTCAAACACCATCTACAGGAGTAGGTCACTCACCATCTACAGAGTAGGTCAAACACCATCTACAGGAGTAGGTCAAACACCATCTACAGGAGTAGGTCACACACCATCTACAGGAGTAGGTCAAACACCATCTACAGGAGTAGGTCACTCACCATCTACAGGAGTAGGTCAAACACCATCTACAGGAGGAGGTCAAACACCATCTACAGGAGTAGGTCAAACACCATCTACAGGAGTAGGTCAAACAACATTTACAGGAGTAGGTCACTCACCATCTACAGGAGTAGGTCACTCACCATCTACAGGAGTAGGTCAAACACCATCTACAGGAGTAGGTCACACACCATCTACAGGAGTAGATCACTCACCATCTACAGGAGTAGGTCACACACCATCTACAGGAGTAGGTCAAACACCATCTACAGGAGTAGGTCACACACCATCTACAGGAGTAGGTCAAACACCATCTACAGGAGTAGGTCACTCACCATCTACAGGAGTAGGTCAAACACCATCTACAGGAGGAGGTCAAACACCATCTACAGTAGTAGGTCAAACACCATCTACAGGAGTAGGTCAAACAACATTTACAGGAGTAGGTCACTCACCATCTACATGAGTAGGTCAAACACCATCTACAGGAGTAGGTCAAACATAATCTACAGAAGTAGGTCAAACACCATCTACAGGAGTAGGTCAAACACCATCTACAGGAGTAGGTCACACACCATCTACAGGAGTAGGTCACTCACCATCTACAGGAGTAGGTCACTCACCATCTACAGGAGTAGGTCAAACACCATCTACAGGAGTAGGTCAAACACCATCTACAGGAGTAGGTCACTCACCATCTACAGGAGTAGGTCAAACACCATCTACAGGAGTAGGTCACTCACCATCTACAGGAGTAGGTCACACACCATCTACAGGAGTAGGTCAAACACCATCTACAGGAGTAGGTCAAACACCATCTACAGGAGTAGGTCACTCACCATCTACAG